CTATATAGCTGTCTCTTATACACATCTACGTGTAGGTATATCTTTGAACTACAAGAAAATCTTTTTTGTTACATTACTATATAGCTGTCTCTTATACACATCTACGTGTAGGTATATCTTTGAACTACAAGAAAATCTTTTTTGTTACATTACTATATAGCTGTCTCTTATACACATCTACGTGTAGGTATATCTTTGAACTACAAGAAAATCTTTTTTGTTACATTACTATATAGCTGTCTCTTATACACATCTACGTGTAGGTATATCTTTGAACTACAAGAAAATCTTTTTTGTTACATTACTATATAGCTGTCTCTTATACACATCTACGTGTAGGTATATCTTTGAACTACAAGAAAATCTTTTTTGTTACATTACTATATAGCTGTCTCTTATACACATCTACGTGTAGGTATATCTTTGAACTACAAGAAAATCTTTTTTGTTACATTACTATATAGCTGTCTCTTATACACATCTACGTGTAGGTATATCTTTGAACTACAAGAAAATCTTTTTTGTTACATTACTATATAGCTGTCTCTTATACACATCTACGTGTAGGTATATCTTTGAACTACAAGAAAATCTTTTTTGTTACATTACTATATAGCTGTCTCTTATACACATCTACGTGTAGGTATATCTTTGAACTACAAGAAAATCTTTTTTGTTACATTACTATATAGCTGTCTCTTATACACATCTACGTGTAGGTATATCTTTGAACTACAAGAAAATCTTTTTTGTTACATTACTATATAGCTGTCTCTTATACACATCTACGTGTAGGTATATCTTTGAACTACAAGAAAATCTTTTTTGTTACATTACTATATAGCTGTCTCTTATACACATCTACGTGTAGGTATATCTTTGAACTACAAGAAAATCTTTTTTGTTACATTACTATATAGCTGTCTCTTATACACATCTACGTGTAGGTATATCTTTGAACTACAAGAAAATCTTTTTTGTTACATTACTATATAGCTGTCTCTTATACACATCTACGTGTAGGTATATCTTTGAACTACAAGAAAATCTTTTTTGTTACATTACTATATAGCTGTCTCTTATACACATCTACGTGTAGGTATATCTTTGAACTACAAGAAAATCTTTTTTGTTACATTACTATATAGCTGTCTCTTATACACATCTACGTGTAGGTATATCTTTGAACTACAAGAAAATCTTTTTTGTTACATTACTATATAGCTGTCTCTTATACACATCTACGTGTAGGTATATCTTTGAACTACAAGAAAATCTTTTTTGTTACATTACTATATAGCTGTCTCTTATACACATCTAGATGTGTATAAGAGACAGCCGTTCAGGAGGGGCGCTACGGCGGACTGAACTGCCGTAGCGAAAGGGTTAAAAACGTGTCCGGAGGAATTGAAACAGCGTGATAATAATAAATGAGAATGCCGGCGAGGCACGGCGAGAGCGGAGACAATTAAAATTCTGGCGGAAGATAAGACGCGTTTAGATACGCTCGTGTCACGAGAAGTTCGGGAACGCTGCTTCACGGCGGAAGTTATGCTCAGTGTTTTCGAGCTGCGAGCTGCGGCCGTTCAGGGTTAATTAATCTACATATCAAGCGGATAAATGCGTTCATTCCGCGCGAAGAGAACGCATCTGATTAGCTTCGTTAAGCAATCTCGAATTGTTAAGATTTTTCGGGGCTTCGGAGCTCGATTGTGAAGCGGTAGGAATAATTTAGTGTTATACACTCGATCAGTTACTATTTCAGTAATGTTAATATTGTTTTTGATTTATATGATTTGATCTTAATTATATAAAGTGAATGTTTCTGATAAAATCAGGTTATTCTTTTTTTAATGTTAGAAATTGTTCGATACTTCGTATTTTGAAAGTCGTTACAAACTTAGAGTTATCGAACTTTGAGTGAATTATTCATTTTACTCTATATAGTAATGTAACAAAAAAGATTTTCTTGTAGTTTACACAAAGATGTACCTACACGTCTCAAGAAGGTTCATTTCCATATTGGCAGTAGCCTTCTTCAAAAAAATTCACAAAGAACACTTTCTCCCAAAGCTTTCTCAAGAGAATCAACCCTGCCTCTAACATCAGCATGTTTTGAATAGCCTTACATCAATCCTGAAATTTCTCCTAACTCGAACAGTATCCAACTAAGAAAAAGATTTTCTCGTAGTTCAAATCCGCACTTAAACACCCCAAAAAGTTCATTCACATATTGCCAATGGTTTGATTTAAAAAAATTACCAAAGTTCGCCTATTTTCAAAACAGTTACGCGAGAACATTGTCTCATTTGATACAGTCCAACAGCAATTTCGAAGTAGTAGCAAAATATTTTCTTGCAGCTGAAGCTTGTGTCTAACACTCCTAAATAGTTCATTGCCACATTGCCAATAATCTCGCTAAAAAAAATTGGCAAAGACCGACTATTTTCAGAGCAGTGGCGCGAAGATTCTTAATTTCGAACGCAAGCTCTAGAGTCGCATCGAAATGCGGCTCATTTGGAACGGTCGAACAGCAATTTTGAACCGGAACGGTGCACGTTTCGATTCGAGAGGAATGCGGAGATTGTGTTGGCAAGTTGCTGAGAAAAATTCGAGGGAAAGGCAGGGAGCGCGGCCCTCCTAGAGCTCCGTAGATTCCGAGGGAAATACCTGCCGGGGGATCCTCGATGTTAGGTTTCAGCGTACGTCAATGCCGCGGTCTTTCCTTTTGTCTCGATCGACTTCTGCCGCAGTTGAATCGAAGGAGACCCGCCCACGGCAGTCTGGGCTTCGATAATCCTCACGGGATAAGAGGCCGGGTTAAGAGGGGGCGGGCAACGCCTGATAAAAAGTCGCGACCCGAAGGGCCTTTGGGAGGGCTCACCCCGTGGCGAGTTCACGGATTACGCTAATAGCAACCCCATGGAATTTATACCGGCGCCGGATTAAAAGTTCAATTTCTGTTCGCGGCCCCGGCAAGACCGAAACGTCGATTCAATTACGATTAAGGGATTAACAAAATGCGTGAGGACGTAAGGTGCTTTGGCTGATCTGTGTCCTTCTTTTTCCACCTTTTCTCTTTCACTCCGTCGTCGATCGTTCGTTTCTTCTTTTTTTCTTCTTCTTCTTCTTCTTTCGCTCTTCTATCTCGCCCCTTGCTCAGATGCTAGAATATGCCTTCTAGAGGATTCTTCAACGCTGCCGAGTCGACTGACTCAAGAGGGCATGATAATCCAACGAGGCTTTGACACTTGACTATCCTGAGGGATCTGTCGCGGATTTTTGCTGCACCTGCTTCAGACCTTCTGCCATCTTTTTTCACTTCTGATGCAGTTCTTCGGTTTTATTTTGCTGCAGTCTTCGCGGCGGTGACTTTTGATGTTCCGCGTCATGCTTTTTCGACTGCCGGGCGGTCTGAGTTGCCTTCGCGATCGAATCTTTTTGCTGAATCCTTCAGCTTAACCCTTTAAACACATCTCTGTAAGGTCTTGAGTAAACATTCGTTACACTTTTGAAGTTACTTACTCGATTGAGCTGTAATTTCGAGCTTCGATGGCATTTTCTCTCCATGGAGAAATATCTATTCAACTAGCTTGCTCGATTAAAAGGGAAGTACTGCATTAGTTAACTCGATCTTCAAAATATATCTTAAAACTAGAACTACCAAAAACAGTCACAATGACTTATTTGGCATTTTTTATAATCAGTACTCATTTTCAATACACTTTGTTATTTTTATACTTTATATAACTGTCTCTAAAAACAATTACTTCAAAGTATAGCAATTATTTTTTCCTTCGAAATGAAAGTGACGCCTCTGTTTCAGAAGCATCGCAGTGCTCTATCATCCGAATAGTACACATTTCGAACGATGTATGTACGTGGTATTTACTTCGTTTATATGCGTAACCATCAAATCAAAATCTTTTCGCAATATTTCGTTATGGTGTTTACGTTCGACGCGTTTACAGAACTAACAAATTTTCGATGCATGAAAACGTGTTGCTGTTAGCTTTCCTTGCTTATGTTATCACGTTTCAGAAACTTCTCATGTTAGTTCTAATAAAACGGAGAACTCTTACATTTTCACTATTCTATGAACTACAATGTATTTGAGTTAATTGCATAAAAATTGATGTTACGTCAATATTAATTCAGACGAGATTGTAAGCGACGTTTCTCAATGTTTGTATTAAGAACAGAAATAACAGATCCTCTACATGATATTTCTACCTCATTTTTCTGCAGCAGAAATATAATTTTTCGTGTTCTTATTATATTTTATACACTAATTCAGATAATAAAATATCAACAGAGCTATACTAGCTAGAATTAGATTACGTTTTTCAATACTTTTTATTTCGGATCTATCATAGCCCGAGTGTACCAATAACTTTCGTGGAAATCATCATACCAGTTAAGGTATATATTATATTTAGAAGCTAAGGTATATATAATATTTAGAAACGTCACTCATGTTCATAGAAATTATACATAAACATTTGTAACGCATCTCAATTTCAAACTCGGTTTTCTCGACATCAGAAGAAAATCAGTCGCGACTTTGGCTCCATGTATCTCGATCAAAAATTTATCACATCAAAACACAAGATTATAAAGTCCCGATCCGGAAACACAGAACACAATCGACTGACAGTTTCCTCGTTTCACACCGTGACATCCTTTTGTTCCGCCAAGTCGTCGAAGAATTCGGCTAACCGAATGACGCCGCCGCGAGGTTCGCACAATTGATGCCAATTTATTTCCCGTCCCCGCGATCTCGTATCCGTTTAATCCGCGAAAGCAGCCAGGTATATTCGCGTCAACGCAAACGTAAATCGACTAAAGCTCGATTTTCGCCGGCAATTTATGCGGAACGGTTCGCGTCGCGGAAGATTCATGAAACTCGGCGGAGCATCTTGAGTCCGGGAAACATTTCGCCGAACAGCAGGACCCGCGCACCTCATAAATCCTAACCGGATTGACACTTTCTGTTGCAGAGTTTCTGGGAGTGGGCTGCGCCACCTTGCGAACTTCTGGCTGCGAAGCTATGAACTTGGAGGCGTCGCGATCGTTGATTGAGCACGCCGCCGAGCAAAACCTACCGACGACACGGCCGATGTGTTCATAATAAATGGAGCATGTCCCGTGGCCTGGCTGGCACGCTTGAGACCGTGAGACGACGGTGATCTGATCATTCATCGTTAGACTCGCGCGCGCGCCGGCACCCGTGAACTTTCCTAATTCCGAAGAAAGTGTTGGCTCCCGGTTGCTAGTCGAAAGTTAGAGACCAACGGCTCCGCCGTACGAAAATAACAGAAGTTAGCCGGTCGGCTGCTAGATCGTTGACTGAGTTCGCATCGCAACGAAACTTCGCTTTCACAGGGGCCCCCCCGGGGGTCGAGATACGCGGGAACCGGTTGTCAGCAGTTTCATCGATCAATTACAGTCTCCGAAACGTTCCCGCGACGGGAGCCAATCGAGCGACTCGACCCGGCCGCGCTTAAGATATCCCAACTTCCCAAATCCTTCATCAACCATTCAGCGGTGTCGAGCCCGGCAGCCTATCCTTTATCAACAGCAGGGCTTAGACCGCTCACGGCGGGGCTTTACGGATCAAGTTCCTGCGTATCTCCTCAAATAAAGAAAACGAGGATAGAAGCATTCCGGCTGGTTCATCCTGGAAAAATAAGTTGTTGCCGCTACTGCCTCTGCATTATCGATGAAAAGTGCTAACGGCCAGTACCAACCGGTCTTCGTTACCTCTCCCCATCCCCCCTCTCTTCCGCGAACTTTCGACCATAACTCGCGAAATAACGACGCAAGAAACTGGGAACAAGAGGGCATTCGTCTTGCCGCCGCCAGAAGTACCGACCAAATTATTAATCTCCAGGGCCGAGAACTGCTGAAGGCAATACTGGAAACCTGCGCCGCCATCCATTCTCAAAGCTCGCAGCTGCGATCTTTATGTCCATATCCGATCGTCTTTTCTGAATGGTATAGGATACTTCAGCCGGTGCAATAAGGATTTTATTTAGAAGTCAAGCGCGATCGCTTGAGGATAGAGGATTTGACCAAGAAACAAAAGAATCAACAAGTAATTGCTCGACTCCGAGCGTCAGGATAGAGGATATGACCAAGAAATAGATGAGTCGTCAAGTAATAAGTTAACTCCGAGCATCGGGATAGAGGAGTCGACATAGGAACAGAAGAGAGAATAGGTAATAACTTGACTCCGAGCATCAGGATAGAGGATGCGACCAAAGGTCAGAAGAGTCAGGAAGTAAATCTTTTCTGCTGCACCAAGTACTCTTTTGTACTGTTTTTCTATCGCTTGAATCATACGATGGCTTACAAGTATCTCAGTACTCACAATAGCGTAAAATAAAAAGCAAAGGCTGAAAAGTCCAAAGACCAAACAGTTCAAGAACCAAGGTCCGAAGACCAAACAGTGCGAAGACAACGAGGTCCAGAAGCTAAAAGATCCAAAGGCTAAGAGGTCTAAAAACTAAAAGGAGAAAAGGCTAAAAGGTCCGAAGACTAAGAAGTCTAAAGGCGAAAAAGTCTAAAGACTCGAAAGTCTGAAGAACTGATCATCCATCTTGGAGACATCCTGGTCTCCAGTAGCAGGGACGAATCCCGAACGCAGGTGATCGTCTTAACTTCGAGCAGGAGCAGACCGACAACGTTGCAGTGGTAAACCGGTTGCTGTTGCTGGGATGCCCCCATGACAAGAGGGCGGCTCGTGGTGATGTCTTGTTGCTGCTGGTGCTGCGAAGGCCTTGGCGGTGCCGGTTCCTCAAGTGCTGGTGCTGGGGGTGTAGTTAGTGGTGCGTCCGGAGGCAGTGTGGTCGTTGGCAGCGACGCCAGCAACGCCGGCGGTGGTGGTCTCGGTATCGCGTCCGGTCTGTCCGCGATGCTGTCGTTGGTAGTCGTCACCGTCGCCATCAGCACCGGGGAGTGGCTTCTGACGGAGGAGAAGCTGCCGAAAACTTCGTCGAACACTTCCGTGGAGCCCGACAGCAAAGTTACCTACAGCGGCCTGTGGAGGGTCTGCGTGGCAATAAGTAAGTAGTTTTCACTCAGGGTTTCAGAGTTCCAAACTTCGAATCCCCCCCGATCCTCGGATCATTTGAATATTTCCGAGGTGTTTTGTCACGAGCACTTCGTCGAACTTCCGCAGGCTTTGGAGACTGTGCAACCGATACTCCCCCGCGTATCCAATTACACCTGCGACGAGCACCCCCGCCATTTCCGGCTCAAAGTAACGATCCAGACCCTGTTATTTGCGAAGCACCCAGCGGCTCGGTGTATCGTCTTTTAATTTCTGTCTAATTGAAGGTGTCGATCTAGGGAAATTGAGCTGCCTATTTTGTTTGTTTGGACGCCTATCGGTCGTTTTTCACGTATCGATTGGCTTTTATTGGAAAGGTATAATTGTTTCGCGCCTCCGAAGACGCGGGTACTTGAGCTTCTTAATTTTACTAATTAACAGCCACTGCGTGGTATTGAAAATTATGATTATTCCGTAGTTTATTCGTGAACGAGACGAAACAACGTGAAAGTGTTCATAGGCGAACTTTGCTATCTTCTTATCTTTCACAAGACCAGCAGTCTAATTTTATTTTTCCGAACACAATGACCAATTGGTTGAATAAGAAGAATAAAAGTCTTGAATAAGAATAAAAGTCTTTGCTGAAGGAGCTTGTATCTCGAGCTGCTTGTATCTCGACAAGTGCTCCTTGCGCAGAGAGCACTGCGGGTTGTTCTCGAGGACACCGCTTTCGAATAAACCAAGTTAAACTATGGCGATTGCAGCCGCGCAGGAAGTACTTCCGATTTTGCAAGTCCGACTGCAGATACTGTCTACCTTGCTCTATCTGACCGGAGTACTCTTTATGAGTAGGTGTGGCTGCATTGCTTTCAACGGCGCTAGTGCAGTTTCCTACAGGGCAATCTCTGTGGCCATGGTTGGTCTAGAGTGTTGTAATTTGTCTGACCTGGTTTCGCGAATGCAGTCAAGAGTCCATCAACTTTTCTCCTCGATTGGTTAATAATTGGGTACGCGTCGTATCACCTAAAATTACTTATAAACTATTTGTTCTGGAAACGTGTGGTTCGAATAAAAGTAATACATTATCATTTATCCGGGCGCGAAGGTCAGTTGCGCATTTTAATTGTAATAAATAAAATTTAATTTAGCAGAACTTGAACTTGAACTTGTTTATTTAAAGTTCTAGGACTATTTCGTCGTTATACGCCGTATTAATTTAGTAGAAGAAAGCGCTGGATGCTGATTAAAACGAAGATAAGAGAATCGAAGTGATCTTTATATTTCGATAAAAGCAGAAACTGGAAAAATAATAATTATATTCCGCGATCTCTTGATAAAATATAGACAATTTTTGTTCGTACCATTCCACAAATAATTCACAAGTAATTTAGGTGGCATGCTTAGATGAATCGCTGCGTACGTACGTGAACACGTAGACCTCATCTTCTTGGGTTCTAGGGTGGAGTACATAAAAAATTCATAAGGAATCCTTAACTTGACGGTGAGTAGTAAAACACTGTAAATCTTACGACTGGCTACTAACTTAGTTGCGAAGAAAAATGGCTGGTCTGCATGGGAAGTACCATGGTCTAGACCCCAGATGTTCATGGTTAAACCTTTCCAGTAACGGCTCAAATGGTCCATCTTGAGATTGGATGGTCGCAAGGGTTTCAAATCGGAAAACGCAATCTCCAGTTAATAAATATCGAAGACAATCTCATTTTGAAAACTTATTTGTGCAGCTATTATTCTTCAAGTATAATACGTTTAACTCACTCATTCTCGTTACGAACGCGCATAATTTAGTGGTTTCGTTGTTCGTGCTTTCGCAAATTGTTTCATCGTTCCATCCGAAAACAATGCGTAGCATTCTTTGTAATTTAGACGGTCCAGGAAAAGCAATAAAAGCTGAAAAGATGATCTTCAAACTGCGATCACTGGAACCAGCTTGTCCTCGTCCGAAATGAATGCTGAATAAAAATCGCCATGCAAATTTAAAATAACTACCCCTCAATTTGCTTATCGCGGGAATGAATTTTTCCAACGTTTGCCCTCTTTACTAATTATTTCGGAAGCATCGGGCACTCGACTCTGAAACTCGGACGAGTGTTTCCTTTTCTGATCGTTCATCGGGCACGACTTCACGAAATTCATACCTTTAAAACAGCCAACAAAAATGCTAAAACAAAATCTGCTTCAACCAAAAGCATCAACAGTTTTATTTTATTTTTACCAGAAGGAATCTCCGAATCTCCCCAAATTCTGTTCTCTGTACTATGGTTGTTTAAAATGAAAATTCACAACGTTTGCATCAACATTTTTATTTTATTATTACGTTAAGCAGTCTTTCAATCATCGAGAAAATTATTTGGAAGTACTTATTTCTTCTATAGCTGTAGCTTAAATCACGATCATTAAGTTTCATACCATATAATTTTATCGATAAACTTTCGAATGACCGTGCTACATCAGAAAAGTTAATTGGACAGTTTTCCTTTAACTGGTATCATTCGAGGTAATTTGCTCCAAAATGAAATACTCCGTTGCCGTCACAAAAATTTCCTCCATCTGTAAATCGTTTTAAAAGTATTCAATAACTGTCGATAAATAGCGCGTTAAAATGATACCGGTCGAGATCCAGCAAGAACACGGTTCCGGTACCGGGTAAATAAAAATTCTCAACAGAATCCAATAGAATCGAATAAGTTGCAGCGAGGAAGATTGCGTTGTCCATTCCAGAACTGGCGCACATAACAAGCATGCTTGCTTTCCAGGATATGCTCCATCCCTGTCGAAGCGTTTTTAACTTCGATGCGACGAAAGAGCATTACCAAGCACTTCTCGGGAACCGGCGATCTTGTAACAACCTTGGACCGCTCATGCCGCGTTCATTCGCGTTCGATATGTAATATCGAAATGGACACACCGGGCAGCGGAAACAATAACGGAAATTGAAAAACTCACAGGGAACTGACGCGCGCGGCTGGACCGGAAGATTGTTTGGGATCTTGGACGGAAGTGCACGGGAGCACTCCGCCCGGCGAAATCGTATTTAAGGAAATCTAATTCGACGTCGTCGTTGGAGCTTTTTGCCCCGGAACGGCGACCGTGTCAAAGAGTAAAAGCCATGACCGCACGTGTACTCGTTGCTGCTCATTGACCAAAACGACCCACCACTTTGCGAACAGCACAGCTCGCGCCGGGCTTCCGCTGTGTTCATCGAAACAGAATCCCTGGAAATTACACAATCTATTCGACTCGAAATCAATTATAATCGATTTCTGTAGAAAATTTAATTGTAACGAAGTTTATATGATGTGATAATGATATTCGCCCGTTTATCGGAAACATGTCTTTTCATTTAAAATTTAAAGTCTTGCCCTGCTCAACGAATTCCATTTGAATTTTGAAATCCTCAAATCTCGGATCACCTCTGTCATATGTTTGAAGAGGAAAAATGTGAATATGAAATTTTGTTAAAGCAGTCATCTCTACTGTGAACTCTTTTATATTACATTTTTCTTAGGGAATGTAACATTTATGAAAGTATGTTAAGCATTAAATTTTTATTGTGCACGGTTACTGAAGTACAATATTCAGGGAGGGAGCGCAGCATTCAGGGAGACAGCAGAGTAGCTCGAGCACAGTATTCAGAAAGGGAGCACAGTAACTGCTTCTTGTAGCCATGGAAAAATGTATGTCGACAAAAGAAATTTTAATATTATCTTTCAAGTCCTTAAGAAATGTCATATAAATTGCTAAAGTTAGAAGCGAAAACTCCTGAAGGCTGCTAACAGAGCACAGTAATTGACTCATCTTCCTTAATTTGTTCTATTCGACAGCCTCGGAAACATATTGCAGTTCTTTCAGTTTATTTTACTTGTTATACAATAAAAGTGATGTTCGGTGAATAACTAAGAGAGAATAACTAAGTGTATTTACAATTATAATTATTTCATATTGGCAAAGCTGATATTGCTATCTTATATTAGGGATTAATTATTAACGCGTTATTTATCGACAGTTATTGAATACTAATTACCTTATATTAGGAATGTATTACGTAGAATTATTTAAGCCGGTCAAAAGTTGCCTGTCGCGCACTGTAGATTATACATAGATTTCACAGTTGTTTGACAGTATCGAGGTCGTCAAAATTAATTTTAATAGAAAACGGGTTCACCGAGGATAAGTAGTAATTTGCTTCTGATCAGATAGGAAGCTCTGCAACCGTCTGAAAAGTTTCCGTTAATACGTGAAGCTAAAGGGAACTTAACCGGCTCTTTGAAGGCACCTTAAAAGGATGTTAACTGTTCTAATTAACGGTTCGTTCTCAGCCTCATAGCTATTAATTTTTCCAATGGTCGATGAACAGCAATCGCCTTTCTGTCGATTTTTAATCGGCTTTGGGTACCCGGGAACGATATATCTATTTGCAAATTAACCGAATAATTATTGCTGATAATTAAACGAACATTATTGTACTCTGTCATCGCGCTTATTCGAATCCAGTGTTAAATGGAAATCGGTATGAAAGCAACTTGTTTCGCCTATGGCGGTGCAATTCGTTGAAAACGGTATTATATTGTAAGCTCATGATAAGTTGACGTTCCAGTTCAGTAAATATCGGTGCAACAACTGCATTGTGTTTATTTGCAAGCTGAATTGATTCTACGAAATGCATGGCCGCGCAGCGATCGTTTTACCGCGGCTTCGAGTAATCACGTGAAAAAGTAAATAAGCGAAAGATTAAATCAACAGGAAAGGCTATTCGCCTCGCCCGTCGTAAACAATGAACTGCAGATTGACCACAATTTTTCGCAAGCTTGAATAAATATTGCAAAAGTATAAAAGTTCTATCATTTTTCTTTCAATATTAAATATACAAACGGTGAGTCATTTTTACAGAAATATAATCGAGTATGTTTAGTATCATTTGTAATTTCAACTTCATTTATATCAATTTTGATTTGCATATTTTTTCAATGTACTCTTCCTGGTCACGTTAGTTGT